TAGTGTTTTCTTGTAAATAGTTCTAAAATCAATTACACTCCAAAGAGTGTCATTTATTCACAGTTAATAAAAAAAAGTTTGCCATATATAGAAACATAGAAACATAGAATGTGACGGCAGATAAGAACCATTCGGCCCATCTAGTCTGCCCAATTTTCTAAAAACTTTCATTAGTCCCTAGCCTTATCTTATAGTTAGGATAGCCTTATGCCTATCCCATGCATGCTTAAACTCCTTTACTGTGTTAACCTCTACCACTTCAGCTGGAAGGCTATTCCATGCATCCACTACCCTCTAGGTAAAGTAATACTTCCTGATATTATTTTTAAACCTTTGTCCCTCTAATTTAAGACTATGTCCTCTTGTTGTGGTAGTTTTTCTTCTTTTAAATATAGTCTCCTCCTTTACTTTGTTGATTCCCTTTATATATTTAAATGTTTCTATCATATCCCCCCTGTCTCGTCTTTCCTCCAAGCTATACATGTTAAGATCCTTTAACCTTTCCTGGTAAGTTTTATCCCGCAATCCATGAACCAGTTTAGTAGCCCTTCTCTGAACCCTCTCTATATATATATAACTTGCATCATATGGCTAAGTCACTAATCGATTCATTTGATTTTAAGTTAAAGGACCACTATAGGCACCAAGACCACTTCAGCTTAATGAAGTGGTCTGGGTGCCAGGTCCATCTAGGATTAACCCTGCCTGCTGTAAACATAGCAGTTTCAGAGAAACTGCTATATTTACATATGGGTTAATCCAGCCTCTAGTGGCTGTCTCATTGACAGCTGCTAGAGGTGCTTTTGCGCTTCTCACTGTGATATACTGGTTGAATATGCGCGCGCGGTAGTACCTTACCATTTAGGAGGGTGCAAGATCAGCAGGGTCTGTCTCACCATTTGATGGCTGCTCTGGGGTTATAATGGCAGTGAGGTGGGGGTATAGGGCAGGAGGGGTGGGAGTATAATGGCAGGGGGGTTATACTGACAGTGAGGTGGAGGTAAATGGCAGGGGGTGTGGCAGTAAAGGGGAAGAGGAGGAAGTATAAAATGGATGGGGGTATAGGGCAGGGGGGATTATAATGGCAGGGAGGTGGGGGCATAGGGCAGGGGGGGAGGGGGGGTATAATGGAGTGGGGGGTGGGGTATAGGGGTGAGGGTGGTGGTATAATGGCAGGGGGTTATAATGGCAGGGGTGGGGTATAAGGCAGGGAGGGTGGTGGTATAATGGCAGGGGGTATAGGGCAGGGGGTTATAATGGCAGTGGGGGTGGGGTATACTGGCAGGGGGTTATAAAGGCAGTGGGGGTTGGGATATAGGGCAGGGGTTATAATGGTGGGGGGTTATAATGGCAGGAGGGTGGGGTATAGGGCAGGGAGGGTGGTGGTATAATGGCAGGGGGGTATAGGGCATGGGGGTTATAATGGCAGGGAGGGTGGTGGTATAATGGCAGGGGGTATAGGGCAGGGAGGTTATAATGGCAGGGGGGTATAATAGTTACTTACCATTTAGGAGGGTGCAGGGGCAGCAGCTCCTTCCCAGGCAGACAGCAGGAGCAGGGGATCTAGAGAGCTGATCCCCTGCATGTACAGATTGACCGCGGGGGAGCAACCTGGCTCTGCGTCCCCTGCTGGTACACTCCGAAATAGCCTCCCTGCAGCTCAGTGTGTGAGTCAGAACACAGGCTGGGAATCCCCTCCTTGTGCTCTGACTCACAAACTGAGCGCCGGTCTGCCGGAGCTGCTTGAGAACAGGAGGTACAGAGCCTGGCACCCCCCTACTGAGTGGCAGACCTGAGGTTCCAGTTGATGCATGGACTCCCTTCATTTGAGGTTGGACTAAAACTTGACAAACAATTTGAAGGATCACTATAGGGTCAGGAACACAAACATGTAATCCTTAACCTTTAGTGTTAAAACCACCATCTAGCCCTCCTGGGCCCCTCATGCCTCCATACATATAGCAAAATATTACTGTATAAAAGCTAGAAGGTGTAGATCTGCATGCTGTTTGCCTTAAAAAAATAAATAAAAGCAGTCTGCTGACATCATCAGAAGTGGTAGCCTGATCCAATCACAATGCTTCCCCATAGGATTGGCTGAGACTGACAAGGAGGCAGATCAGGGGCAGAGCCAGCATGATTCAAACACAGCCCTGGCCAATCAGCATCTCCTCTTAGAGATGAATTAAATCAATGAAATCTCTCTAGAGCTGCATAAAAAAGTGAACACCTAAATGGCAGAGCACTGAGCTGTGAGATTGCAGGGGCATGATCTATACACCAAACTGCCTCATTAAGCTAAAGTTGTTTTGGTGCCTATAGTATCCCTTTAAACAGAAGAGATCAAATATGTCTCTGTATCCTACAGCACATTTAGCACCTTATACATGCAACCTAGCACAAGTGAAAATAGATATAACTAGAACCATTGCAAGTTTCATAGAAACATGTAACAGAAATAACTGGAGCCTGAACATAATGTGTCACGCTCTGAGTTGTACAATGTAACAGAAATTATGTGGCTAAGGTACAAGGTGCCAATGCACTGTACGCTTCCATTCATAACATGACAAGAATCTTTTCAATTTACCTGTTTCATATCTGTCTCTCTTGTTTTCCCACTGAAATCAGACTTAGTGTAATGCAACATGCCTGGTTATGTGAAAGCAAAAGTATGCACAAAATCATTAGCATGTCATTAGGCAGACGCTGACAGCTTCAAGTATTTCCCGAGAAATGTCTGTGAACTCATTGATTTCCTTGTGTTTCGTTTATGAGAACCAATGGTTTGTGTTAATTCATGCCATACACAAATTCACATCAGACAGCAAGAGAATAGCATTCATTACAGCTCACTTATGCTGAAATACACTTTAATGACAGATAAACAGAGAGAATATCTGCAGCACAATCAACTGTAACTATGCTGAAAAGACGAAAAAATGGTTATTCAGTAATATGGTAGTTATGGAGAATCGACAAGGGAGTTACACATTTTATGCCAAATTTAATGAGTTGGAACATTAGCTGACTTGGAAATTTTTTACAATTTGTCTGGTTAAACCTAAAATTTGCAATTTCCTTTTGAATTCCCGTCAGTACTCATCACAGTGGATAAACTTGAAACTGTGATGAAATGTAGATATTGAAATGGGCTGCTATTTGTTCCAGACCCAGCAAAGACTTTACCTTGCTGAAAAGCTTTATGTGTGAAGGGTGTGTCCTCTTTATTTCATTTTGCAAAAAGTGCATATTTTAACTGAAATTGACACCTCTATAAATAAAATGGTTACACCACTTTGGCTTTCAAGCAGACAACAGGTCCTGTTACTTCCTGTTTTAGTTAGCTCAGTGGAGCTAAACTCAAGAGGCAGCAATTACTCAGAGCACCTGCCTTGCAAAGGTTTCCCATTTGACTGCATTGGGAAGTCTGTGATTGGACAGCCACAGAAAGTCTGGGCGGGTTTGGAAAGTGAGGGCTTTCAAAGGCAGAACTGCAACTTTTACAAGCTATTGTTACATATATCTCAATGAAAAAATGCATAATTAACTGCATATAAGTTTTCATTTGGGGTATATCTGCTAAACAATGATTATTTAAAATTTATTTTGTATTTGGGCAGTGAAGTGCCTCTTTAACCCAGCCCATTTGGCAGACAGAGGGATGAACAGTGTCCTAGTTGTAATATTATTATGGTTGTTAAGGCTGTAGCAACTGTAGCTTTCACAATGGAATTTTAATATCTGATAAACATAGTTTCCTGCTCACTTTCCAACCTAGTTATAGTTTGCAAATGAGCCCACACCGGGCTCATTTCTATCCTTGGCCTCAAGAGAAGTGAGACTTGTCTGTCAAGGAACTCTGATTGGTTGGCTTTCATGTCAACCAATCAGAGCACTCTTAGCTGTCAAAGCATGGGAAGGTCTTTATAAGGCATTGTGCATTGTTCATTTAAATGACATGTTCACTTTACTTATAGAAATACAAATTTAATGTTTTCTATCACGTGTCTGGCCTTTTCTTTAATTGAATTGCTGTTTATTTGAAATTCTTTATTTTTGATATGCAGGTAGGTACAACGGTGCCTGTATCGCCACACCAGTGTCAGCAGGCTCGTTTTTCATGGTCATAACATAATAGTATTGTGGCATGTTGGGTTTGCATATAGTTTTAAATAAAAGAGGTAACGATTCGAGAAATAAGCGTTTGAATATTAAGTATCATGCTTAGTTAGTACATTACTAAACAAGGCTTAACAGTTGAACCTAGAATACGCTGGAACAGTAAGTGACCCTGAGTGTTAGCTAATCATATCAGTCTAGATGTAGAAACGTAGGTGCCCTTTTAGTCAAGCTGAACATACTATGTCTGAGTAGGCTGGCGTTGTGTGTGAATGGTGCAGAACAGTGTCAGCAGGCTCATTTTTCATGGTCATAACATAATAGTATTGTGGCATATTAGGATGTTTTTTGCCTAGTTGTGTGTCAACCGCTGTAGGTAAATTGTGTATGTCTAAGCTGTAGTCGCTGCAGCTGATTACTGTGAATATTAGCTGGACAAGCATATAGGCTAGCAGTTTTAGTGTACTATCTTACAGGCTCGCTTATGGTTCTTACTTATTGTGGCTAGAGAGAGGACATAGCTAGCATAGCATGCAATCTAGACATAAACATCAGGATAACGATTAGTAGGACACTGGTGTCAGAGTCCCATGTTAGCAGAGAAAATACTAAGGATAAGGTGAGGAAATGCAATAGGTCATAGGCTGCACAATCAGATTCTGTGGCTGCTATCGGTGTGTAGCAGGTCTGATAGCTGAGGCACGGAAGGGCACGTTAAGTCCACGTTTAACCGACTCTTGACATCGGGAAGCGCAGGGAATCTGCTAGGTAGTCCTTCAGGGCCTTGAGCACATGTGGGAGCCAGTGAGGCAGAGTGGTCACATGGGGTCCGTTTGTGGTCAGTGTCGGTGCCCTCCTCTGTGTCAGTGTGCCTTTCGTCAGGGGAGCAGTGCCGTGTCGTGGAGTTGTAGGAGAGCTTGTACCTTCATGCCATTCGCCTGGGTACCTTTGAGGTCCAGGGTTGTCCCCGTCAGGGTGGTGCGGTGGGCCTTGCATTTATCGGGTATGCGTCGGCATCGTGGGTGTCTGGCGGTCCTCCGTGTGTGTGGCTGGTACTTGGGGGTCTGGACCCGTAGTGCTCTCAACCCAGGTGAGTGTCTCGATCGGGTTTTCGGTGTGTGGGACGTAGTTGTTCCCATGAGAGGTTTCCCAGGCCTCCACTTGCTGCGAACCTGGTCCCCTGTGGGTGGGTCAGGAGTAGCCATAGCTGGCTGCTTGCGAGCCTGCAGTTGAGCCCAGAAACAATCAAAGATGTCCTCGAGGGTGTCTCTTGTTTTGTTATTGGGGCCTGGCACATCAGGCTGTTGCAGCTGCTGGTCGGATGTTGGTGAGTCAGGTTGGACCGCCGTCTTGGGGACTGTCACATCCGTTTAGCTTGTGGGGGCCGGAGGATCAACTGAGAGGTAGGACGTTTAGCTTGCTCAGTATGGCGGGGACCGGGATATCCCCCACCGGTCCAGGGGGAGGGGGAGGGGAGAGTAGTGGTTGCGTGTCGCTTGGAGCAGAGAGCAGAAAGCGGCCGTCCTCCCGCTTCGCCCACTCCGGTAGCTAAATTGCTGTTTAACCCCTTAATGACAATAAAACTATCCATGCCATTCTACAGAAAGTGGGGTTAAGGTAATGGTTAATGCTGGATCTGGGGTAATACTAGGATTTGGATTGGTGTAGGGTCAAGAGTAAGATTACGGTAGGCATATGGTTAGAGTTATTGTAAGCATTTGGTAAGAGGTATGGTTGGACCAGCTTTAGTGTGGGAGTTGGTATAGGGTTACTGTTAACTATCAAAAGTTAATTTATATCCTAGACATATCTATAAATATAAATATATATCTCTATATCTCTATATCTCTATATCTCTATATCTCTATCATGAAAAAAGTATTTATTTTGTGTAAAGATTATCATACGCAAAAATATGAAAAAAAGTTTTTCATTTTTTTTTACATTTTATTCATATGTAATGTTCGCTTAGGTATACATATAGGATATTAAATGAAAGCCCTTTCTGTGATTTATAACGATATACGATAATCAATATATAATATGTATGAGGTTGGTGTTAAGTCTTTAAGATTAGAGAAAGTCGGTAAACAGCAGCAACAATCAAAAAACTGCTTCTAAGTAGAAGTTAGTGGCTCCCAAACGGAATAATAAAAGAGCCATTAGTCACCACTTAGTCACTGGCTTTAAGTAGCAGCAGTAAATAATTCCCTGTCAGTATTTTGGTAAATAGTTACTACACGCTAACAGTAGCATCAGACACGTTATGGCCAGTATAAAGTAACAAAACTTTATCTAACAACATTAGATATGTCATTAGTAAATAACCCCACGAATGTTATGTTGTATTAACATTTTTAAAAGGCTGTATATAGAGGGGGCCTGAACCACATGACGACTGGTCGTGTTTAACATGGGCTCCACTACCAAATTAAGCTGACTTCTTGCCCACCAGCCTGCTGAAACCCCTCAAACTGAGACCCACTTGACCAATGAACAGGTAAAGAGGCCTCGTGCAGACCGACCAGGAGCTAACTCGTGCTGTTAACAGCAATCTCGAACAGGCCTGGTGGAACTGCTCGGCGGGTGAGGCGGCCACTCTCCTGTCCTGCGGATCGCCTTGCCTGAGTTTACTAGCCTTGCAGTCCCGTTCCCCTCGCTCTGGACTGGGGGGGTTCTCACGGCCCCCATAAGCATACAGTACCAACCACCCGGCTACATCAACTGAAGCACAGTTCCAGCGGTCGGGTGCCTAGGAGTGCTGACACTCAACAATTAAAATGGCTGCCGCTGCCCCCACTCAAACACGCACTTGAGTGAATACGCTCCTCGCAGCATTTGACCAAATGCCAGCAGTTCTGGATGAAGCTCGGTGCACAAAGACTTACCTCTCCACCTGACAAACGTGCAGCAGCTCTCTGGAGCCAACCTGTCTGGCGATCCCGTTTGTTAAAGCTCCCCCAACACTTTCCCAAGGGAACAGGCCACAAAAGGCGGCAAAACAAGAGGCTGTGGCGAATACTAGCTCTCCACCACACAGACTTCTGCGGAAGTAGTGACATTACACACATACAACGCTACCAACCTGGACCACAGACCCAAGCATTACAGCCTACTGCAAGCACATGCCTGAAAGTTCATGACCAGCAGTGGAAGGTCCAGGGAGCTTAAGCACCCCTCAAGGCCTGGAGTGGAAGGTACGGAAACAGAGGGTACAACCTTTCACTTACAACAAGAAACAGGACATTCACCTACCCCGGACACCCAGCATGAAAGAGAGTGGGAGAGCCATCCGAGGCAACGAACAGAGCTCGCTACCGAAGCCTACCTGAAGAATCGGGTGAACCGGAACGACACAATCCAAGCACTGAGTGCCCCTGCCAGGCATTTAATGAACAGAGTTATGATGCTTCAATTCAACTTATTGATATAATGCATGTTATAGTCACATATTAGTAACTTGACAGCCTAGATACCTTACCAACAAATGCTTGAATTTACCTATGTCTAGCCAGTTACCTAGCCTGAGCACATCATACTTTTGTTTTATAAGTTTAAAAATATGTGCATGTGATTCTAATGCCATGACTGTTCCTTTCTGTTTAAATATATTGTACTTGCCCTAGCTGTCGTGGCAGTGCAACCATATGTGTTAACTAGTTGCAGGTCAAAAAAAAATAAAAAAAGTATGATTATTTTGCAAATATATTTTATTACATTCTTCTCATAGTTAAGTGATGTGTCACTCAGTCTGGGTATTCCAACCCTTTTGCTAGTTCATTAGTGTATTTAACACACTAGAATGAAACCTGTTGTAAAAAAGAACCAGGTTTGACAAACAGCCTAGAGGGATAAACTGTTCCCAGATCTACTGTTCTAGACACTAGGATAAAACATTTGAAGTTGACACTGACTTGAATTCCATAGAGCAATTGAGCATTGCATTACACTACTGCAATTGACCGGAAAGACCCATCTTCTACTTTGTAAAGGGTGCAGACCTACACTGTTTAAACAGTAACAGCAACAACCAACCATCCATTGATACACATATCAAGAAGCTGCAACTTATATCCTTGTAGATTTGCACTTTCTATAACACGTGCTCTATAGCTATAGTTTACTTGGCATGTTTACCACAATAGCTACCATAAAACAAATTTCTTCCATAACAAGCCAAATGGTCCTGTAAATTCATACTAAAGGGCCTCAGCGTCTCCTTTTAAATAGTTCTAAGGGGTGAAAAATTAGGCGGTTACTGTTTATAAATAAATGCAGCGCCTCTGGGATTTAGTGTAACCAGCCATATAAATGCCAATTTTACTGCTGACCAGAGATTATCCATCTATTGCAACAGTACAGTATGAGCAGGCTCTCTCCTTGTATTTCTTTGATTCTGCCGTTCAGAATTGTATTGAGCCTGGTTGGAGCCAGTTAATTCTAAACTAGTTCTAGATCATATCTGGTGTGAGTGATTAACTTTGGATAAGTGATCCAACCCCTTAGTAGTTATCAGTAGAATGGAAATTCCCCCAAGGTTAATAGCTTCAGGATCTTCTGAACACCAGAGAGCAGCACCCTATAAATACTTTTACAACGGTCTCTATTTTTTTAAACAGTTTGAATCCACCGTGTTTAAGAAACACAGTATATGATCTGCAGTATGAGAATCAGTGGCGTACTAAGGGGGGGGCGGGGGGGGCGGTCCGCCCCGGGTGGCAGCCGGGAGGGGGGTGCCATGGCCAGCCCCCCCGCCCCCCCATGCTGCAGCTGCCCGAGCGCTCTGTAAAGAGCCTCAGGCGGCTGCAGCTTTGCCCGGGCGGTGTGTCCATGAGGGCGGACCGCACCGCCCGGGCGCAGCCTGAGGAGAGGCTGACAGGAGGGAAGCGCTCAGCGCTGAGCGCTCCCACCTGTCAGCTCCCTCACTGTAGCGTGGTCCGACGGGTACAGAGAGCATCTGTCTCCTGTACCCGGCCGGACTAACAGGAAGGGAACACTGAGTGTTCACTTCCTGTTAGTCCGGCCGGGTACAGGAAACAACAGCTCCCTGTACCGGTCGGACTATACTGGGCTCGGCCACACTACCACACAGGTAGGGGAGGGAGGGGGAGGAAAGAGGGAGGGAGGGGTGAGGGAAGGGGGGTGAGCATGGGGTGAGAGGGGAGAAAGAAATATGGGGTGAGAAGAGGTGAGAAAAGAAATAAGGGGGGCAGAGAAACAAGGGGTGAGAAAGAGGTGAGAAAAGAAATAAGGGGGGAAGAAAGACAAATTGGGAGGAGGAGAAGGAAATTGGAGCCGGAGGAGAGATTGACATTCATCACATACACACAATGCACCCCTTGCACACAGAAAAACACACAATGCATTACACACACAGACACACATACACAAGCAATGCAACCGTTACACACAATGCATCCTTTACACACACAGAAACACACAATGCATTCATTACACACACTCAATGCACCCCTTACACACATTCAATGCATCCCGTACATACACAGAAACACACCTTGCAGCCCTTACACATACAAA